AAGAAGTAAAACCATCTCCCTTTGCAGATGATCTTGTGTACAGAAAATCCTAAGGAACCCACCAAAATAATTATGAAAACTAATAAATGAGTTCCATAAGGCTAAAACACAAGATATCAATATACAATAATCAATTCTATTTCTGTAAGATGAAAAGAAGAACTTAAAAAGGAAGTTAAGGAAAGAATTCCAATTATAATAGCATCAAAAAGAATATAAGGCTCAGTAATAAACTTCTTTTAAAGATCTGTTTATTTATTTGAGAGAGAGAGAGAGAGAGAGAGAGAGACTGTGCACACATGAGTAGGGCAAGGAGGGGCAGAGGGAGAGAGGGAGAATCTCAAGCAGACTCCCTTCTGAGTGCAGAGCCCAACAGAGTCTCCATCTCACCACCCTGAGATCATGACCTGTGATCATGACCTCAGCTAAAACCGAGAGTCGGATGCTTAACGGACTGGGCCAATCAAGCACCCCCAGTAATAAACCTAATGAAAGAAATACAGAACTTTTTTTTTTCAAAGATTTTATTTATTTATTTGACAGAGAGATCACAAGTAGGCAGAGAGGCAGGCAGAGAGAGATGGGGGGGAAGCAGGCTCCCCACTGAGCAGAGAGCCTGATGCAGGGCTCGATCCCAGGACCCTAAGATCACAACCCAAGCCAAAGGCAGAGGCCCAACCCACTGAGCCACCCAGGTGCCCAGAAGTACAGAAGTTCTACTCTGAAAAGACAACAGGGCTGAGAGCAATTTTTGAAGACCTAAACAACTGAAAAAAACATTTCATGCTCATGAGTCGGAGATGTGATATCATTAAAATGGCGCTCCCCAAACTGATTCAACCCAATCCCAATAAAAATTCCAGCCAGAATCTGTGCAGCTATTAACCACTTGACCCTGAAATTCATTTTAATAGTCAAGGGACTCTGAAAACCAAACAAACTTGAAAAAGAACAAAGTTTGAGGACTCACACTTTCCAATTTCAAAATCTACTACAAAGTTACAGTAATCAAAATAGTGTGGTACTAGCACAAAGAGAGATATGTGAGCAAGTGGAGAAGAACTCAAGAGTTCAAAAATAAATCCTCACATTTAGGTCAATTAATTTTTGAAAGGGTATGAAGACAATTAAATGGGGAAAGAAATAGACTTTTGAACAAATGGATATTCACAGGCAGAAGAATGAAAGTAGATTCCTTCCTCATTCCATATACAAAAATCAACTCAAAATCCATTTTGAAACCTAAAACATAAAAGAACTAAATACAAAAAGACCTAAATGTAAAAGCTAACAATCTTAGAAGAAAACATAGGTGTAAATCTTCATGACCTCCAGTTAGACAATGGTTTCTTAGACATGGTACCAAAAGCACAAGCAACAAAAGAAAACATTAATAAACTGGACACCAAATTTTAGAATTTTTGTGCTTCAAAAGACACCATCAAAGAAGTGAACAAACAACAACAGAATAGTAGAAAACACTTCCAAATCATGTATCTGATAAGGGATTTGTGACTAGAATATATAAAGAACTGTAACAACCCAACAATGAAGAGGAGAAATAATCCAACTTAGAAATGGGAAAAGGAGGGGCACCTGGGTGGCTCAGTCAGTTAAGCATCGAACTCCTGATTTCAGCTCAGGTCATGATCTCGGGGCTGGTGGAGAGGGGGGAGTGGGTGGTGGTCTCATGAGATCGAGTCCTATATCCAGCTCATCGCGCAATCTGCTTGTTCCTCTCCCTCTGCTCCTCCTCTCACTCGCTTGCTCTCAAATAAATAAAGAAATAAAATCTTTCTTAAAAAAATAGGAAAAGGAAATGAATAGACATTTCTCCAAGAAAAGATAGACAAACGGCCAATGAGCACATGAAAAGATATTCCGCATCATTAGCCACCAAGGAAATGCAAATCAAAACCAAAACGAGCTACCATTGCACCCCAGAAAATAACATGTGTTGCAGAGGATGCAGAGAAATTGTATCCCTCATATGCTGCTAATAAGAATTAAAACGGTGCAGCTCTGTGGAAAACAGTTTGGCAGTTTCTCAAGATTAAAAAACTTTTTTTTTTTTTTTTTCAAAAGGTTAAACAGCAATTCCATTCCTAGGTATATACCCAAGAGGACTGAAAACATGTTTCCACACAAAAACTTGTACAAGAATGTTCATAATAGCATTATTCACAACAGCCAAAAAGTGAAAATAACCCAAATGTCCACGATAAATGGATTAAAAAATGAGACAGCCATACAACGAATACTATTTAGCCATGAAAAGAAATGAAATACTGATCCATGCTATAACATAAATGAATCCTTACAACATTATCCTAAGTGAAAGAAGCCAGTCACAAAAGACCACGTATCATTCCATCTAAACAAAACATTCAGCAAAGACAAATATAAACACACAAGGCAGGAAGTATGTATTACTTTTCCAAATCATTTTTTTAAGACTATGAGGTTCTTTTATTTGTATGCTATGTCTTTCTAAATCCTAAAATTCTTCTTCTGTAATATTTTTAAAAGCACTTGAAAACATAAAAGCATGCAATGGATCAAAGAGAAATGACCTGGAATTTTAAAACAGCTAAGGAAAACTCATAAATGTCAAAGCCAGAAAACTGATCTGTCTTTGTTGAATATCATCAAATGACCAAAATTCCCTTCAGTTAAATTCTGGCTTCCTTTTGAAATGGAAATTACTCATAAATTTAAACTTTAATTTGCAAAATAACTGTATCTTTTATAAAGCAATCATCAATGTTACATATAGAATTGTTGAGTCACTATATGGTACACCTGAAAGTAATATAACACTCTATGCTAACTGTACTGGCAATTAAAATAAACTAAATCATCAGTGTGAAGCTGAAACTCACTATACCTTACATCACAAAAGTTTAAACTAAATGCAACAATACTTAACATATTTCTTGGGATAGCAGCAATAGAATAACTTTGGGGTCGAATACAGGGGCTTGAATCTCAGCCTGCTGTTTACCAGCGGGGCGACCGTCAACAATGTCCTTGGTCTCTGTGAGCTTTAGTTCCCTCTTCCATCAAACCAGGAATTATAATACCTACTTTGGTTTAAAAAAAGAAATACTCCGTTTACTTACTAAATGGGGGGAAGAAGAGTAGTGTTTGGAAAATGTCACTCCTTAAACTTATAGATAACATTTAGGGGTGCCTGGGTGGCTCAGTTGGTTAATCAGCTGCCTTTGGCTCAGGTCATCATCTCAGGGTCCTGGGATCTTGCCCCACATCGGGCTCCCAGCTCAGTTGGGAGTAGGCTTCTCCCTCTGCCCCTCCCCTGCGCTTGTTTTTTCTCTGTCAAATGAATAAGTAAAAACTTAAAAAAAAAAAAAATTACCTGTACCATCTGAAATTTTTTTACAACTTATATGTAATTTTAAAACATAATGAGGATTTAAAAAATAAAAGCATCTACTTTTTGGGATCTTACGGAGCCCTTCTGTAAGTCATTTATAGATAGGAGACTCAGTTACAGATGACTTCCTCACTACTTCCATAGGCTTTCCAACTTTTGAATTTAGATGAATAAAACTTGGGAAGAAGCAAAGTTAAACACTGATTTTTCTGAAAGCTATGGTTATCACAAAAGAGATAATCGGGGCAATAAAACTAAGCTTTGAAACCACTTTCCTCAAAACATACCAAAGAATTTAATCTCAAGGGAAAAAATGTCCACATGTTTCTGGATGCTAATTCACTTTATTCTAAAATTTTAGTATCTGGGGTTCGGTTTTCATGGGGGTTTTTTTGTTTGTTTGTTTGTTTGTTTTTTGCAATGTAAAATGATAATACCATCAAGTGAAAAGGAAATTTGGTACCTTAATTTTTTTTACCAACAAGACAAATTCAGGATTCAGTTTAAAGAATATTTTTCAGTGAAAAACAACACACAAATATAAATAATGATACATTTATCTAGCAAATAAGATAAAATATAATCTGCATCTTCTTTGCTTTGAGAGTACACTGAGATAGATGAATGTAATTTAACTAATTTACGTTACCACTTCATACTTCGCAGTATATTGTAAGAATTAAGAACATTCTCTTCCATGTTCTAAGAGATGAATAAAGTGAATGTCAGGAAGTAAAGTAGTTTTGCAAGTCAAAAAGGTGCCATTTTAAAACCACCAAGGTACACCGGGACTAGTAAAGCTGGGAACGAGGCCTTCGGTACCTTTTCTTAAGCACTGAGTCATTAGAATGAAACAGGTGCCTAACCTACCCGTAGGAGCGTATGACTTTTCCATTCCTCAAGTATGTGCAAGTATAAAATTAACCCTCATGAAACTTAGACGTTTACAAAGCCTACTCTGGGCCACTTAATACCTATATTACGGAGAATATGCTGGAGTCTTATTATTGCACTTCTAGAGTGTCTTTGTTTTTAGACCGTATTTCTAAAGAGGGGAAGCACGGTCAGTAAATCTTAGAAAACTGCAATGACTCACGATAACTATTATTTTGACATTGATGAGTGGTTGCATGGGGTAAAATTTAAAACTTCATTTTTTTATTAAGGCTAGTGGACAAGGGATTCCCCAGCTCCCACGCTTTCTCCCTTCCAGTTCCTGCAAGCCACCTCCGGATAACATTTCCGTGCTTCATTCCGCGAAGGCAGAGCCAAGCCCACACACGCGCCTTCAACCGCCGCTTCACGGTCTCGGCGCCCCTCGCTCTGCCCCGCGCCCCGTAGGGACGCCAGACGACGGGCCGGCGGGGTGCTGGGCCGCCACCCCGCCCGAGGGCGTGCGGGCGGAAACAAGGGACACCAGTGACTCACGCGGCCTGGCCAGCCGCCAGACCGCACCACCTTCACTGCTGCGGGGCCCGGGGATCCGCCTCTCAGCGCCCCTACGGGGGGGGGGGGCAAGCTCCTCCCCCCGCAAGCCCCCTTCCCGAGCTGGCCCCCTCCCCACACTAGCCCCCTCCCCAGATCGAGGTCGGGGGCGCGCACAGACCTGAGACACCGCCTCCCTGTAGATCCGGCCAGTCCTGGGAGGCCTCGCCCCTCCCTCCCCGGCCGGCGCGAGCATGCGCACTGAGCCCTCCCGCGTCAGCGCGCCCCCGAGCGCCCCTGCAGGCACGCGCCGCCGCCTGGGAGGCCGGGCGAGGCCGCGGCAGAGGCGGAGGCCCGGCTCCCTGGGCGGCGCGCACCGCCCCCCTCACCCCCCCTCCCCCGCGAAGCCCTGCCATTCACAAGCGACTTGCGCCCGCGGCCCCCAAAGTCCGTCCTCCCCGTTAGGCGGCGGGCGCCGGAGGGGAGGGGACAGCCCAGGGGGCAGGAAACTGCAGCTAAAAAGAGCAGCGGGCGGCGGGTCCTTTCTCCCTCCCTGCGTTCCCGGCCTCTGCGAGTACCTCCGCTCTGCGGCCTCCGCCCCGCCGCCATGTACCGCTGCTTGGGCGAAGCGCTGCTGCTGTGCCGCGCGGGGCCCGCCGCCTTAGTCTCCGCGGCGGCCGATTCGGCCGCGCTGCTGGGCCGGGCCCGCGGGCAACCCGCCGCCGCCGCCCCGCAGCCGGGGCTCGCGCCGCCCACCCGGCGACACTACAGCGAGGCGGCGGCCGACCGCGAGGATGACCCTAACTTCTTCAAGATGGTGGAGGGCTTCTTCGACCGCGGCGCCAGCATCGTGGAGGACAAGTTGGTAGAGGACCTCAAGACCCGGGAGAGCGAGGAGCAGAAGCGGAACCGGGTGCGCGGCATCCTGCGGATCATCAAGCCCTGCAACCATGTGCTGAGCCTTTCCTTCCCCATCCGGCGCGACGACGGCTCCTGGGAGGTCATCGAAGGCTACCGGGCCCAGCACAGCCAGCACCGCACGCCCTGCAAGGGAGGTGAGCGCCGGCCGAGCCCCTCGCGCCCTCCCTCGCCGTCCTGCCCTGCCGGGATGGGCACTAGCCCCCACCCACCCTCGCCCCGGCCCCAGCCGCGGATGTGTCAGGTTCGCGCGGACAGTGATTTTTCCTCCCGAAACCGCCACGTAGTGGTCCCATCTTCTGCCCCGTGACCCATCATCCCCGGCCCCTGCCTGTGGATGTTGCATGCAGAATAGATGCTGCACGGCTCTTCCTTCGGTCCTAGTGTAGGTGACACCTAGGGTGGGTCCTGACGAAATGCACTTCTAGAAATGGGAATGCCTAGCCCATCTGACTGTGCCTTTGCAAGTTTTTGTGAGTTTCTATGACTCACTCGATCACGAACTATGAAATAATTATTTCCGGGTTTTTTTCCTCCACTCATTTTTACACCAATGGCAAATGCTACAGAAACATACAAAGTGAATTGCCTTTTACGTTTGAAATCTAGACAGTTTTGCTAACCAAATGATTTTACTAATTACACATTGGTCTTTTAAATCACGTCATTTTTCTGACCTTGACACTTATGTTTTGCACACACCAAAGAAAAAGAAAGAAAAGTAATGCAAGAGCGACGTAACATCTCCGACAAACAAACACTGGGCGCCCTGACAGTAAATCTAAAGGGTGTAGAATGCAGGACGGCCCGCCAGCCAATGGAATGAAATAGCCCTGGGGGTGTGTACTGGTCCTGGCTAGCACCAGATTTGAGCTTGGGGAAAAGATAAAGTACTGAAGAAAGGAGTTGAATCGGTTACAATTTGGTAGTCCCAAGTTATCCTGTACTTAATTTTTTTTTTCTTCTGCGCTTACATTTTTGAGATTTGGCTTCCTTCGAGCAAATATAAACTTTAAAAAATTTTTCCCCTGTACATGGCACAGTACATCTTCTAAAAGTGCTTAAGCATAACCTAGAAAAAGGGCACAACCACTTTTTTTCTATTTGAAAAAAAAAAAGATGTTGAGTAAAGGACCCAGGGAGTTGAAGTCTTGCTGGAGGTTGCTTGGCAAATAAGCACAGAGAGGGTGTCGGGCTGGACCGTTTCTCTCCATGAGCCTGGTACAGTATTCAGTATATGAGCTGACTTCTAAGGATAGTTTTTAGAAATCTCTCTTCTGGAAAAATTGGAGCTCTGCTGGCATTTCCAAACTGGGAACAAAGGTTGTCTGAACCTGTTTAATGATTTACCTGTTAAATTTTGCATTGACGCCACCCTCTTCTAGGACACACCTTTAGAGCTTAATACCCTCTAGCTCTCGTTGCTCTTCTCAAACTAATATTTGAACCAGTTTGACCTTTAATTTCCCTTTGCACCTCCAAATTACATAAAAGTTAGTCTCCTACATCACCTTCCTTCTTCCTACCACTCCCTTACTCTCTAAACCAAGAATACAAGTTTAGGCTCCCAAGAAAAGCAAGCAAGGACGTTGGAGGAAGAGAAGTTAGCAAATTTTAAGTTGCTATGTTTCTTTAAAGTGGCCATCTAGTTTATATTACTGTCCTCTTGGCAGTATATTCCAGTCACTTAAAAGATAAGCAAGTAAACCATTATAGATATTTTTCTTCAGGGTCTGATTTCGTTTCCTTGAAGTTCTTTATATTCCGAGTCCTCTCCTATCTTTATCACAACTCTACAAACTCACTAAAGCAACTAAAATTTACCATGGTGTGTCAGTCCTCCTCCTCTTGTTGCCACAGCAGTTTTAATGCGAAAATACTGAACCTAGCAACAAACCACATCAGCCATATTAAGGCTCTGTTATTGTAGCATTTGCTTGTACCGAAGTGTAAGAAACAATTCTGTCCAATTTACCCCATTTACCGGAAGGCATGTACTGAAAGTGCTATTAACTCCAGAGAGAAACTGAATTGCAGCTAATAATTAGTTAAGCAGGCATTGCAAGATAACATAACATGAAAATTGGCCTCTATAAAGTGGTAAATGTTTTATCTTAGGGAATTTCAAAGACTTCAAGGAGATAATAGGATTGATTGAGCAGGATTATATAGCTATGAAAGGCCTTAAAAATATTTTGGTGTGCTTTACTTAATGCATGGTGTGCTAAATAGTTGATCAGCAAAATTTGGGTAATGTGGATGTGCATGCTTTGCTTTTTGTAACACTCCAGGATCTTTCTTCCCATTTATTACTTCAATCTGACTGCAGAGAATGTATATTCGATGAGCACCCTATTTTGAGTAGTTTTTGTTTCCAATTAAACATTTAAAGCTTTTTTTTTTTTTTTTAACTTACAAAAAGGTTATTGGCCTTCATGGTTGCACTCTGGTCTTACAAAATATATTAGGTGATTGAAATTTCCAAGGATGCTTTGAATAATCCCTGTGGCATAAGTAAATCTTTCTCTTTTTTTTTTTTTTCACTTATTTTTTTTTTTTATTAATTTTACTTTTTTTTAAACATATAATATCTTTTTATCCCCAGGGGTACAGGTCTGTGAATCGCCAGGTTTACACACTTCACAGCACTCACCATAGCACATACCCTCCCCAATGTCCATAATCCCACCCCCCCCAAAATCTTTCTCTTTTAAACACACTTTTCTCTCACCACCTCAGTTGCCTTCTCTACCAGTGTTCTTTGTGTGCACACACACACACACACACACACTCACACAGACACAGCCTTGTCTGCTGTTCATCTTTTTCATAACCCTCAGTGTTCTGCAGCTGATCTTCCCTGAAGAGTGACCTTCTACCTGAGTTTTCTGAAATACAATTTTCAAGATTGAAGCAAAGTAACAATGTAATTATAGTCTGTGTAAGGGGAACAGGTGGTTTGAAGACCTGGGGGTGGCTGAGGTGTACTTTATTCCGAGTAAATATTTAATAATACATTTTGGTTTTTTTGCTCATTTTCCCGCAAAGCATATTTAACTGAAGTCATCAGATTTTACATGTATTAAGCATTTGCAGTAGAGTATGCTGTAGACTCTGAAGGGAAATTTCAAGAGCAGCCTTAATATTTTCAACAAAGATGAATATTGTGGGAATTTCTGCTTTGAGAAGACTTTTTCACAGTTTCTTACATGTTTGAAAACATTATCAGTGATTGTTTCTGTTAACTTTCTCAATAAATTCTATATTCTTTTGGCCCATGGTTCTGCAACCAGTTCTGAGACCAGTGCAGTACCTTTTTAGAAAGAAGTTTATCGTTTAAAAATCAGTTTTGGGGGGCACCTGGGTGGCTCAGTCAGTTAAGCAGCTGACTCTTTTTTTCAGTCATGGAAGTCTTGGGATCCCTAGCATGGGACTTTGCACTCAGAGGGGAATCTGTTTTGAATTCTCTCTCTCCCTCTGCCCCTCCCCCTGCTCTTGTTCTAGTCCCTGGGAGACAGGATGCTGGGGTGGAGGGTATGGGATGCCGCTGAGGTTCAGAGTCCAGTAGTATCGTTCAGCCAGTCCTCTGGGTTACCACTGCATAGTGATTGGTGTTGCTTTGTAGGAAGAGTGTAGAAAGTACTGATAACTGTTTAAAAATGACACATGCTCTGCCTTCACTGGGGAAAAAAAAAATGTTTCTGACTTATTTCTGCTGTGCCAGATTGACAGCCGGCAGAACATGGGTAACTTTGAATAAATGATCACACTCAATATTCTTTTTTTTTTTTTTTTTAAAGATTTATTTATTTAGTTGACAGAGATCACAAGTAGGCAGAGAGGCAGGCAGAGAGGGGTAGGGGGAAGCAGGCTCCCCGCTGAGCAGAGAGCCCGATGTGGGGCTCGATCCCAGGATTCTGGGATCATGACCCAAGCTGAAGGCAGAGGCTCCAACCCACTGAGCCACCCAGGTGCCCCCACACTCAATATTCTTGAAGTGTGAGCGTGTGTCCGCATCTGTTCCCACAAGAGAAAATGTAGCCTTTGTAGATAAACTTGGGATTTAACTCAGTCTGAAAATTCTGTTAAAAGACAGGTGATTTGTAATGTGTTCTCGCTCTAGCCCTCATCCCTGAGGGTTTTGTTGCTGCTGCTCCTGCTGTTGTTTTATTAATCCTTTTTAATTAAATCCAGAACTGGGTTGCCATGATAGAGGCCTTTGAATTTCATGGAAGCCAAATGCCCTTGACCTCCCCCCAACCCTAATATACTAGAGAATGAAGAGCTAAGGAATGTGGTG